ACCAGATGTACTTTTTTTAAAATTTTATTTAACAGTTCAACCATTTAAATCCAATTTTATAGAGTGGCAAAAAGTGCTGATTGTTAATGAAGGTCTATCTATCTAGGATGTTGCATCTCAATGCCTTATAAATCTGTAGTAATATGGGAGCATGGTAACTAGAGCGATACCTGTAACTGAATCTAATAACCTATAACAATTAGCATAAAATAAGTATCAAAGCGGGACTCTGGGCACAAATACTTTCATTTAAATAAATCTCTCAATATCCACAAATGATATCAATCCACTATGTGTGCACCAAATGCCTTTCTAAAAGTAAGGAAGTGACATCATCACTGTGCTGTAAATAACCTGTGCAGAGAGCAGAGCTGTGGGAGGGACCTAGCATGCCCCACCCAATACAGGAAACTACAGGAGGGGGTGGAGACAAGACCAGTCAGAGAGAGTAGCAGTGACCGGTCTCTATTACAGGAAGCTCTGGCTCAGAGAAATACACAAAGAACACCAACAGGGTTATTCACAAAAGGGTGAAGAGTTTGGAGAAGGCAGGAGAAGGGAAGAATCTAGGACAACATAGCTGATTTGGAAATATTCTCCAAATCGGCTCGCTTTCCAGCTCACCTATTTTGTCCTAGATTGTTCACTTCTCCTGCTTTCTCCAAACTCTTCACCCTTTTGTGAATAGCCCTGCAAGATTCAAGTATAGAATACACATCTAGACATTTCCTTATCCGGGAGTTCCGCTTTAACGTAAATCTGTGTTTTGCTTATGCAAAGCAGCAGGTTCACTTTAATTCCACCCCTTGCCTTCCTTCTCCAGCCATTTTGTTCACTGCACATTACTTCTGAGTATGGTGGAGCTCCCTCGTGACAACACTGGTGCTTGGTAAACGGCCACTCAGGCACTGGTACTTGGTGAACGGCCACTCAGGCACTGGTACTATGACATGGCGGCAGGGAAAGCCCTGTGTAAACTCTGACTTGGATCTTACATAGGGCTCATAGTTTTTGCTCCCAGTAGTGAACAGAGCAGCGGGGTTAGTGAAAGGACAGTATGTACAAACTCCTGCAGAAGCTGGCTGTAAAAAGAATCTTTTCCCATGCCCTACATATTCATATTCCCTTTAAATGACCCAACTCTTATACGTGTAGCTAGACCTCCCTCAGAATGTTGACACTTAATGGAGTCAAACAAGTAGGTTCTCTGTTGCGGTGCCTGAATTTTGCAATCTTTGTCCCCATTGGGGAGATGGACCCCAGGCACCAGGACCATAAGGGAACACAGCGAAGGGTTCCCCTTTGGGAACACAGACAATAAAACCCTGTCTGAGGTTCTATTCCTTCCCCACTCATAAAAACAAATTGGCTTGAGTTCCATTTTGAAGCATAGCTGCACTTTTGAAAGTTGTAATAAGTAGGCAATATTCTGGCAGATTTCACCTATCAGTTGGTATATTTGCACATAAGTATTTTTCTTAACTGCCTGGCCTGTATGGGCATGGTGTGGTTCTGAAATCCTCCTTCCTATTAACTCAGGGGGCAGCCGTGGGGCATGCACAATCTGCAAGAGGACTTCAGGGGCGGGTCCTACACGGGGCTGGCCGTTAGTCACTCTGATGTAGACCCGCCTCTTCCTCCCTGAGTGTGCTTTCTATGTCAGGAGCACCAGAAAATGAGTTCTGACAATATACAGAACTCATTTTCTGTCCCTCACTGGTGAGTCACTGCTGAGGCATCGACATCGATGGCCTCAGTGGGGGTTTTTTTTCTTTTTTTTGATTGGACTGCTTTGACCAATGGTGCTTTGCCATTGGCCCAAGCCATCCACAGAGCTTACACCTCGAACAAAGTGTAGGGGCTGTGACAGCTCTTACCTCACTATGTTAGGTTACACAAGCAGTGGGGAAGCCCGCTGCTGTGTAACCTAAATACCTGTCAAAAGCCGGATGACAGGTTTCACAGTGGGGAGGCTTTCCCTGCTGTGTAACCTGATAGAAGCCGATCTGAATGGAGAAAAAGCTGTCAGCTTCAGACTTGAAGCTGACAGCGTTTTCCTCCATAATACTAGGTGAGGCTCTACCTCACCTGCCTCCCCTGACCGCACGTCCCTGATCTACAGTAATCTTTTGACATATGTAAACTGTTTTTATTTTTGTTTAATATAAAAGGAACTGTGCAATTACAGACCTAGCCACCTAAACAAAAGGACCTTTAGCATATGCACACAACATTCTATAAATTGATTTATAAATCACCCCACTAGTTTGTGATATATATATATATATGTGTGTGGTGTTGGTGCTGTATTTAGTTTGAAATCTGTATTTTTGTGCTACATAAGGGTTTGTGCACAGTGCAAAGTATTGATTGCCTACAAACGATAGAGTTAAAGAAAAAAAAAAATCAGTAGCATTCCGCGGTAATTAGATTGTCAGCTCTTCTGCATATGTATCATCTAAATCCAAAACTGTGCTGCTTCTTATTAGCATTTTATTTTTTTTAACTTGCTTCCATTTTGTCACCTTTTGTCAATAAAAATACATTACATTTTTTTTTATTTTTATAGATTTTTTTTATTTTTTTTTTAGCATCCTAACATTTTCACCTACACTTTTCTATCAATACGAAGAGTTGGTCGATTGAGAAATGTAAAAATCAGATTTTTCTTTCATCTAGAAAAAAAAAAATGTGTTCGTGTGTTGCTAATTTCTAGTTGCATTGGTTAGAAAAATACTAATAAGTATCCACGTGGCTTTTTTTTTTTTTAACACATTTTTAATTTTCACACTTTTCATTTTTTTTGTTCCTTGACAATTCCCACGGCTTCCCGCAGTTTTTGGGCGTAGGGAAGGGCTAGGGACTGTGCGGGCGAGGGGGCCGTTCTGAGCTCCGTTTACTCTCCTTTTGTTATTTATGTTGTCCGCAGCCCAGCAGCGGGGCCCAGGGGAAAATGTCGGGTTCCTTTTTGCTGCCACCCCCCGCACCCGTGGCCAGGCCTGTCCCCCTTCCCCTGCCAGACACAAAACCTGTCACCAGCAACATTGTCCCAGATGGAGGACTGGCAACACAAGCATCACCCTGTAAGTGAAATTGACTACCCCCAAAATCTCCACGCACAAAAACAAAAAAAATGAGTTACTCTCCTTTTCAACATCTATTCAATTTAATTTGAGGGTGGGGGAAGTAAAATGAGGTGTTGTAGGCAAACAGCGGAATATTCAGGTGAAATACAGATATGTCAAATGGTTTTGACCGCCATAGGTTTTTTAATTCTGCTTAGCCAGTCTTATGATTTTCTGTTACACTGGGTAGCCAGCACGGCGACACTTCTGCTTCCTTTCTCAGCTTCACAGCTTCCTGTGTCACCAGCCTTCTCATTGCACAGTTAGTCAGCAGTGTGATTATGCTGGTTTATTGTCCAATGAACGGGTTGGAGAACTGAGGGCTGTTGGCATGGGTGGCAGACACTGCCAACTAGCCCGTTCCTGGTAACGACAGCATTCCGTGGGCTAAATAAAGTGTCCCGAGCAAAGCGTGCCATGGTGATTGGTGGGCAAGGTGAAAGTATTGGCGAGATACCTTTTCACCTCTTTCAGCACCAGCTTCCTTTTCAGCTCCCGGCATTCTGTCACATGACATCTTATGATAAAAGGATGTTGGTGCTGAAAAATTCCTCTCTGCCAGGCTCGGTGATCACAGGTCTGAACATGGTGGCTTTATACAGTGGCCTATCCAGGGTAAGGCGGATGCCCTGGGTGACACCTGAAAGGGGGATGCCACTCTGTGGGTCAGCGAAAGTTTCCCGACCCTCAGAGACTGCTGACTTTTTTTCTCTCCTCACCCCTCTGCCATACATATGTCTCTGTCCAGCTCTTAGCAACCAAAGATGATCTCTCTGGTGTCCTGCCTAGCTCCTGGCAACCAGTGACGTCACTGGGAGGGACGCTGGCCAGAGCATCCCAGGATGCTAAGAGCTGGACAGGAAAATGCGCAAGGGCCAAACACATCTCCCTGCCTGGCTCTTAGCAACCAGAGCACTGGAGAGATGTACATGTGGGCGGGACGCCGGCCAGAGCATCCCAGGTTGCTAAGAGCTGGGTAGGGAGATGTGTATGGCCTTTAAACATCTTCCTAGCCAGCTCTTAGCAACCTGGGATGCTCTGGCCGGCGTCCCGCCTAGCTACTGCCAACAAGTGATGACACTGGTTGCCAGGGGCTGGGTGGGACACTGGAGAGAGCATCCTTGATTGCTAAGAGCCAGGCAGGGAGATGTGTGTGGCACATATGTGCCACACCCTGGCTATGCCACTGTATATAGCCACCTTGTTCAGACCTGTGATCACAGAGCCTGGCAGAGAGGAGTTATCTTGTAATACCTTCATCTTGCCCACCAATCACCATGGCACACTTTGCTCAGTACATTTTATTCAGCCCACAGAATGCTGTTGTACAGAGCCATGCACATCACCCTGCCTGGCTCTTAGCAACCAGAGCAGCAGGGAGATGTGTATGTGGCCAGAACATCCCAGCTTGCTAAGACATGGGCGGGGAGGTGTATGGCCTTTAAATCTCCCTGCCCAGCTCTTAGCAACCTGGAATGCTCTGGCCGGCATTCCTCCCAACTCTTGGCAACCAGTGATGTCACAGGTTGCCAGCAGCTGGGGGGACTCCAGGGACACAATTTGTTGTAGATATGCCTCTGGCTATATAATGCCCAGCAGCTGTCACTGACTGTAGGTCCTGGCTCTGATCAATTTCAGAATGGAGAAGTATCTACACTTAGGGCCATCATTCCAACCTGTATAACTAAAACCTGCTCAGGAGCAATTCTCCACCCAACACCCAGCCTTCCCCTGGAGGGTTGGCACAGGAAGCTGCAAATCTAAACCAGGAAACGGAGGTGTCACTGTGCTTGCTGTGCAGTGTAACAGAGCTGCGTGAATCCCAAGCCTGGCAGAACAGATTAAAAAACAATTGACAGATAATTACAATAACATATAAGTATTTCAACTGTGTATATTGCTGTTTGCCAGAACAATGATACCTAAGGAACACATAAAATCAAAGAAAAAAAAACCATAATAGCTAGAATAATGGTGAACGAATGTCAAAGGGAATCAAGAATAGCTATTACAGAGACAATGAAACCACCACAATAAGGAATTCTATTGTCCAGTATGAGGTCACTATGGTCAGGTCAGATGCCCATATAGTGTATTGGTAGACATTCAGCATGTGTGCTCATTGCAGAGTGTGACTTACAGCCACCAACAAAGAACAGACATAAAATTACTATCAGTAAAACATTACAGTAATAGAAATATATATTAAATGAATGAATATACATTATATCACATTAATAAATACGCCATAGTTTCCTTCAAAGGGGACACACGGTGTATACAGTGAGCATACATTTTGAGTCATTGCAATATTTTTTTATGTCATTTTTTACATTTTAACAAGTTTTTGTTATATTTAAATGAAAATTTGGAGATTAGTTACTAGAGGGAGGTCTCGGTGTCTCAAGGGATTCGCTCAGCTGAACAACTGTTGAGATTTCAGACACAATGAAGGGAATTTATCAAAACTGGAGCAGACAAAATCTGGAGCAGCTGTGCGTGGCAACCAATCAGCACCTTCCCCTCATTTTCAAATCTTAACTGAACAAACTGAAGAGAGAAACTGATTGGTTGCCATGCACAGCTGCTCCAGATTTTGTCTGCTCCAGTTTTGATAAATCCCCCCCCATTGGGATTGATTCACTGAAGACAAATTGTTGACATTGAAAGGGAATGGTGGTGAAAATTCACTTTGCATATATTTGCTTTCCCATGATCGGATGATGGAAGTCAGCAGAGCTTCACCTCATTCACCAAGCTCAGGGAAAATTTCCTTGCAAGGTGAACAGTCTATTTGCCTTTACTGAATCAACCCCGTTGTTTTGAGTCTGCTGACTGCTTTGTGAGGAGCAGCAAATCGCAAACACTGTGTAGCAGTGCAAAGTAGGAAGCAAAGCCTGACTATGTAATGAGCAAACATGGTTGACCCTGTGTACACATAGTCAAAAACTATATATAGAAACATGATTAATAAAGCACTAAGCCTCATTCACACAGCTTAGAGTTGGGCCGTACAGATCCGTGCGGCGTGCACGCCCATATCGGGCCATGGAGGGACAGGTGCTGCGTGTGACTATACACAGCAGCCTCTTCTTCCCTATGGGAGGACGCGGCCGTACGCCACCGTACACTCACCCGAGCTGCACATCCGTGCGGGTGTGGGTTTCCGTGCTCGGACACAGACAGGATCCATCCTGTCTGCAATCGAGTGCGGACACCCGCAATCGAGTGCGGACACCCGCACCCGCACAGATGTGCAGCTCAAGTGAGCGTACGGCCACGTCCTCCCATAGAGCAGAACAGGCTGCTGCGTACAATCACACGCAGCACCTGTCCCTCCCGGGAATGGCCCGATACGGCCTGTGCACGCCACACCGATCTGTACGGCCCAACTCTAAGCTGTGTGAATGATGCCTTAAAGGGCTCATTCACACTACTCATTGGTATGAATTGAAGCATCGAGACAAATTGTCTATGTGTTGGGACTGTGTTGGGCAACCATGACCAATGCAGGCCAACAGGGCTGGTGTAAATGAGCCCTAACACATAGTGATAAGAGTATTTACATCAAGCTGATCTGTTTTATATGTATGTATAGACAAATATAACAATAAAGATACATTCCCTTTAAGTGGTAAATCAAGAGGACCTTGCATAAAGAAAGCTCCTACCCCCTGATTAAAATTGCTAAATTAAAGCCATTAAAAACGAAATGAATAGAAAATACTCACCATACACCTCAGCTTCCAACTGCTTCCAGTAGTTGCTGGTGATTTTACTGGGCCCCCACCGTAGGGTCCTGAGGATCCCAAACCCCATGGGAAGGCTCCAGCGCTGTGCAGGAGCAAATTTTCATAAGATCCACATTTTCATGGGATTTGGGGTCCTCAACTTTCCTGGGATCCCACGATAATCCCCAGTGTTGTCACCCTCACCTAGTCAGGCCAGCTGGAAGCCAGGGTGTAAGGTAAGTACTTTTTTCATTTCCTTCCCACTTTCTTGGCATTTTCCTGCCAAGTTCGTTTTAAGATCCAGTAGTGGTCAGACAAATAAGATGTGGGCATACGTTGAAATTGCTTAAACAAACCAGTCACAATTATGAAGTGTGAAGGACGCAGGAATTCGGCCCTTCTCTTTGTTCCTCCAGTCTTCTGCTGAGCACCCCAGTGGCTGAGCCTTGGTACACCTCTATTTTCTCAAGTCTCTAAGGAAGATGGGCCATGACCTTCTGACCAATTAGGAGGCACGCACAATGGGAGCATTCTGAGGACCTTGGCATCTATGGGCTCACTGGGCACCCAGGAGAAGGTTTTAGAGAAACAAAAGTTACATGCAGGTACCTTGGCGTTACTTGTCAGACATGTTTACTCTAAAACACAACTTCAGCTTATGCTCATGGACAGGTGGATGTTTTGGGATAATGTTTTGGATAGGGTTGGGAAGTGTTAGAACCTCGATATGGATTTTGTGGGATGAGCTTGCGCTCTCATGCGCCTTAAAGTAAATTAATGTCAGGGACTCCTGCACACTGTATAAGGAAGTTTTATCAACACCAATCCAGTCAGGCACCTTTAGATGACTACTGGATAGATGTATTACCAGTGTAGGGTCATTTTAAGATTAGCCCAAGCAAGTCCTCAGCTTATGAACAATGTAGGACTCATCAATGTGCATGAAGAGCCTCCAGAGAAATATGTTACCAGCACACCACAGGTGTCTTCATTGGAAATCAACTTAACTGATGTCCAATCTTCAAAAGTGCTGTTTTTGACATTATGATTGGATGTCAATTAAAAGTGATTTCAAGTACAGATACCTGAGGTGTGCTGGTAACATATGTCTCTAGTGCTGGATTGTGTTGCTATCCACAAGTTTCTTCAGCACCCATCAAGAGGGGTTTAGGTCAATATGGTATGCAATGGGGATATCCCCTTGATTCTGTACATGGAGAACCTCTG